GTGTTATGAATAAATTTTCTTTTTTTCGGTACTGGTACTAGTTTTATTTTGTTGTATTTATCCGCGACACCTTAAAGGCTGGTCCGTGAAAATATTGTCGGGCATAAACCGGTCCGTGGCGCAAAAAAGGTTAGGGACCGCTGCACTAGAGCACGTTTGCTGTCGCATTTTATTTGTAGTGTGAACAAGCAGACACAAAAAATCGGATTTGATCAAAAAATCGGAATTGAGCATTAAGACCTGCAGTGTGAACGTAGCCTAATTGTCTGTCCTGAATCAGTCTTATTAGGTGATGTTAAAATAATTTTATCATTCCAGTGTTTTCAGTGTGGGAAAAGTACTCAGGGCCTTCAAGGTAAACACTATGAAAGGCAGAAATAAGTGTAATATTCAGAAACCTAAAGTATGTATCAGCAGCAGAATGGAGCTAAAAATAACTGTTTGTTTCAGTTCTATGAAGCTTTGAGTATTTTAGATTAGCAGTACTGCTGTGTTTGTTGCATCATATTGCTGCACTTTTTTAAGGATAGGGAAACATCTGACAGGGTTATGTAACTGGCGTGGTGTTATGGAAATAGTTGAGCATTCATTAACTGCAGGAGGTATTAGAGGTGGGAATCACCATACATCCCACGATACGATATTATCACAATACTTAATGCACGATACGATATTATTGCAATTTTTAAAAAATATTTAGCGATATTCAGATTCAGACATATTTTATTTTAATTAAGTAAACTGTCATGTTTATTGCTGCCAAACAAAAGTTAAACACATTTGGACAGTGAAGGAATGTCAGGATTCTTGCTCAGAAAAAAGAGCTGATCAACATGCTCTGAAGTCAGAGCACAAAAACCATGTTCCAGTCCACAAAAACTTTTTTTGAAACAAAGTATCGATTTCTGCTGTCCCTGTATCGATACATTATTAGCAAACAAAATATCACGATACTACACAGTATCGATTTTTTCCCCCACCCCTTGGAGGTATGGTAACTATAGGAGAATGATGAGGGTAGAAATGGGAAATACTGGGGAATTCAGGTTTAAAAAGGTGGTTGAGTGGTTAGGATTTCAGGAAGGGAAATGAATTGGTTCTTCGATTTCTGAGAAATACAGGATTATTTAAGCGGATTTAAAGAGTTAGAGGTGATCTAAGTAAAATCCAGGAGATGGCAGTAATGCAAAATCTATGGATGCAACCTGCCGTTAAAATGGAAGAAGAAGACGAAGAATGCTTGTGATTTGCTGAGATTGTATGGACGTGGGAGTTGTATTACCGGGGCGGTTTCTTAAACTCGGCGCCTGAGTTTAAGAGGAGATTTTCGCGGAACTGCCGGCTTACATTGCTGTAAACTTGGGTGTGCAACGCTTGTTCACTGCGTTGTCTGTTACGAAACATGGAGCAATTAAGGCACCGGGTGTTCATCTCAGGGGCAGCTGTACTCCGTTTTCTGCTGGATTAATGCACCGTATGTATATGACTTCACCCTATATCTTCATATTTTCATATGTTACATGGAAAATAGACTGTGGCTAATTGCGTAGTTTGACTATTGCCACTTGTTATATTTATGCAAACAAACAAACAAATTTTATCTCTGGGTGTCTGCTTGCCAGTCCACCTCATTCGGCAGCATGTGTTTATTGACGCCTGCCAGCTTTGGTTACATTTGCATGACTCTGTGGCCTCCATCGGGGCCTTTTCTCTTTGAAGATCCGCTATTAACCTAACACCGTTTCTCTGTTACTGTTTCCCGAGGCCCCATACTGTGATTTGGTGATTGCCGAGTATCTGAGGGCTGAAGCTGGATTTTTGTTCTCCTACCGACCGAACACTGGTTCTAAATGGTTTTAAAAGTTAAGTGTTTCTTTAGCTGATGTCATCTTTGGCTCCGCCTTGGGTGGATGCACAGATTTTAACATGTCTTTTCTGGCAGCTACTTTTTGGATGGGTTTCTGTTTTATTTATTTTTACATACATGCTGTTATATCTATTTTCCCCTATTCATTGCTAATCTTGTTTATTGTAACGTTAATTAAATTTGAATTTTATCTATAACGTTTAGCTGTTACTGTTAATCCCCTGAAATTTGACACCAAGCTGCCACTAATCCACTGAATCAGGCTAATAGTGACTTTTATTGATTATTAATTTGATTTCTCTTCTGTTTCTTGATAGAACTGAGGGTGGACCAGTAGCAGTGTGATCTATAATACGGCACCTTGAATGTGAGACTGTCTGGTATCCCTTTTATTGGCCCTGCATTACTGGTAAGTCGTATCCTAGTCCACTCTTTCTCTTTTCTTTCTTTTGTTTTGTTGTTTTAAGCATATGTAATGCTGTTTTTATAGGGCAGCATTTAGGCCAATAGTGGGTGTGCTGCAGTCATTCATTCTGTTCAAACCTGTGTGTCCTTCTTTTAATAATATTAAACCCTTAGATATCCTGGTGGTAAAATTTCCACAGGCAGCATCACTATAAAATCATGAAGTTTCCTTGACTGTACTGCCACACATGCATGTGTGTATGTGACCAGCTGCACATGGTCTGTATGTGCAACCGTATGTGTTTCGTTTCATTGACATTAATTATTCTATATAGAACAGAGGTGGATATCACATATCAGATGTTTGACCCTGGGATTAGCATCCACTGTTGTGAATCTTTGTGACAAGTGAGCAGCCAAAAGTGGCTTGTACAAACCTGTATGTGTACAAATCTTGCCATGTGCTGCTGTATCCCTTACCACTCTGGTTCCTGCAAAGGTTGCTCTGCTTCACGAACAATCATCACATACTCCACTACTTTTCAGTTTAACAAACACCAATATGAGTCATTACATCTGTTACAAAATAAAA